CTAGAAAGCGAGTCTGCATGGAATTCGCTGGATCGGAGACGTTGTGGGTCACGGAATCGATGGACGGGAAATTGAACTCTCCCATAATCAATATATTCACTTACACTAGTTCTATAGCTCTATTGATAGACAACAATATGCTGGCGTCTTCTAGGGCTATTGAGTTCGGCGGTCTATGGAATACTGCTACTAAAGTTGCTGTGCAACCTTCGGGTTTAAAGGAAACCCACACTGGTTCTGGTCNAGTCACCTGCTCGGGGTGCAAGTGTTGTACTACGTAGAGCATGATTCCTCCCCCCTTAGAGCTAGTGCGGTCCTTCCTGTAGTGGTGTATTCCCGGAGGAGATATTTCTGTCATTTTTATCCCTTTGTGTAACCATGTTTCACTGATACCTATAACACCAGGATTGCTGACCGACGTCCAGGTTTGTTACTCTGGGATTTTATTCATAAGGCTCTGTGCGTTGGTGTATACACAGGGTGTTGACTTTGTTCGGAAGGTAAACGCTGGTTTCACTGTTCTGTTCTCTGGTCGACTGGACCTGGCCTCTAGAAGACCGGATACTAGTCGTTTTTTGACTCATTCTTCTTGGAGTAATGGCTGAGGTTAGGGCTCCTTTCAAGGTCCCGAATAGGAGATATATTTAATGCGGGAATGTCACTATTTATGGGGGAGAGCGCCCTTATGGTCACTCTCTCATGTCGTGTTCGACACTCGTGGCATTTAATCTCAGTGGCGAAGATATTTTTGGCTTTGCGCCATCCCTGTAGAAAGTTACGTTTCATGCCTTCGTCAGGGAGCACTACTTTGATGAGCCCAGGAGAAGTTAATCTACTGAGGTGGGTGGGCCTAGGTGTATTTCATGCTGAATTTTTTGAAAATCCTTCTGACCCCATAATGATTTATGGTGAAATAACTTTACCTGTGTGTTGCTCTTATATTGACATTTCTCAATCACGAACACCACACATCATTATTTATCTGTTAATTGGGATGCCCGGCACATTTGAATTTGGCGTGGTTTGAGAACCGAAGCGACTGTTTGCCTCTCTCTGGACATCATATTTGGCTCGCTTGTTTGAGTGCTTTTAGCCGCATATTTGAGGTTTGCTTTATTGTACATTTTGTAATGNACATTTTGTAATGATTTTGGTAATTCAGTACCGTAGAACATTGCGGATCAATTGTGTTTTTAATTCGGGATTTGTATCAGTTCGGCTACGCGTCACTCAAGTGCGAATTGGTTGACGTACACTAGGTAACCTTTTTACACGTTCAGCTAATACGTCGGACAAACTGGATTTTCCAGAATGTAATCCCATTGTTCACTGTCGTGCAGGCAGTGACTGGTTTGCGCCTGAGCTTCTGGTATGCCTCGTATGAGGACCGAACAAGAGTCATAGTTGTTGTTCTGCCTTGTAGTCTCTCTTATTCGCTGGCGTTTGCCCCACTGGAGGTTACGCCGCATCCTTATGTGGTTTCAGTCTGAAGAATGCAACATGGGCGAGCGAAGGAGAATGTCCGATGCACCTTTTGGATTCGCAGCCTCCAGTGTTATTGGC